TTTTGGGGGGTGTGGGGGGGGGGGGGGTTGGCAATAAAGAATTATTCTTCTCTTTTCTCTTTGTTAAAGGCTTCAATGGGGGATTTTTAATCAGTAGTATCTGTTTTGTAGTTTAATTTAATTTTGATTTGTGCAATTCTGAATCTGAGGTGTTCAATGTAGTACTTTCCTTTCTCTATTGTACGTAGTTCTGTATGGAGATAGGTTGTTCATCAGTTTTCTTTCTTGAAACTGTATTTTGATTTCTTGAATTCTCTTTTTTTGTAGTGATTTGGAAGGCATATACGCCATTGTTGATTGCTAATTTTGTTTCGGAGGGAAGGGAATAGAAATTTTGTTAGTTGAACAGACAAATGGCGAAAAAGCAGCTGGATTTCAATGCACCTCTTTTATCTGTGAGGAAAATAGCATCATCTTTAACTCCCAATGAGAGAGCAAATAAAAAGATGGCAGATAAGGTACCACCAAATCGACAACAATCACTACCTGTCAAAAAATCAGATTGGGAATTGACTGAGGTGACAAAACCAGTAGCTGTTCCATTTGTGTGGGAACAGATCCCTGGAAGACCAAAAGATGACATTGAAGTCCGAACTAGCCTTCGTGTGGAGCGTTCAAGTAGTCCTAGGTTGCCTCCAGGAAGATTGCCAGAGACTGTTCGGTTCTATTCGGGTGAAAGGCCTCGTACTCATAACATTTACAGGTCTCCAGCTGAAGGACTTCCTTGGATGGATCATGCAGCTTTACTGGATAGCCTGGTGGAAAGTATATACACGAGAGGAGATAGAGAAAGTGAGGATGGTGCTTATTCTGATGGTCCTGAAACAATGTCACCTACCGAATCCTTATCCTTGAACTGCAGTGTCAGTGGTCTGAGCGGACATCAAACTTCAGATTTGCAACCATCCGGAACCTTTTCCATTGACTCCCAAACTAGAGACTTTATGATGAGTCGATTCTTGCCAGCAGCAAAAGCTGTTGTGTTGGAGACTCCTCAATACGTTCATAAAAAACCAGTCTCTGCTGAACAACCGATGCCAGTCAAAAAGCTGGTCCCCGTGGAACGAAAACCTTTGGTTAAGCCATTGGAGTCTAACCCTGTCTCATATTATAGCAGCCATCCAGCTGATGTAGGAAGTGAAACTGAAGATGATGTGCCTGAGAATCCGGACAAAAAGCCAAGTAAAGGGTGGAGATTTTTCCCTCGGATTTGTGTGAAGAATTCTTTGTGCCTATTAAATCCACTGCCAGGATTGAAAGTGAAGACACGTGCTCCGACACCCTCGCCTCAAGCAGTGAAGAGAGTTTCAGGAACGAAACCAAAGATGGCCCAGAGTCCCACATCTTATGCTCATGAAGTCAAGAAATTAACTAGAAAAGCTTATAGTGGTCCTCTTGAGAAGGTAATAATCATAGTAACAGTTTCTTTTTGTCCTAAGATTAATAAGATTTATGTTTGTTTCTAACGATCAGGTTCTTTGCAGAATGCTTGTGATACCATTAATAAGCAAAGATTTCATTCTGGAGTACTGTCCCGCGAGCTGTACAAAGCTGATAATAGAAGTATGTCCGGGCAGCTGTCTAATCCAAACGACTCATGTAAGCTAGTTGGAATCTCTCCTGGTAGGCGTTCAAGAAGTGGGGCTATATCTCCTTATCGAAATGTAGCACCCCCATCTCCATTCAATGAGGGTACAAGGTTTCTTGGTGTCCCAAAGGAAATGGAGAGTCTTTGGGCTAGTCGCTTTGATTCATTCCGCAAAGGTTGCTACACTGTCAAGGACAAAGCAGTACCACAGAGAATGGGCACAGGAAAGTTTTTTGATTCGCCAAGTGAAGTAGTTGAGAAAACCTTGTACATAGATTCTGTAGATAATGTGCAAATTTCAGCCCCTAACGCTGCTTCTTTGAAACCCAAGGGAATAGTGAACTCCCCGGATAAGATTATGAAAACTCTGGTTGAAAACAGAAAAGTGGTTGAAAACTTGGCTGCCATGTCTCCTATTCAAGGTGCCAGGCGCTCAGATGTTTTAGAGAAAAATAGCAAACAGATTGTTGAAAAGGAGTCTTCCCTTGATTTGATTGAAGCTTCTACAATTTCCATATCAACACACAAAGGTCCTGCTGATCAAGAGTTTTTGAAACTAGAGCAAAATGTTGATACAGTATCTGGAGCCTTAGAGTCTTCAAAAGTTCATCCTTGTGGGAATTTAGTTACAGAAAATGAAGATAACCAAAATGCAAAAGACTCAAAAGATTCTAACCTTACCTCCTTGGAATCTACTTTACCACCACCATTACCTAAATCTCCCTCTGAGTCTTGGCTTTGGCGCACGCTGCCTTCCATTCCTTTGAGAACTCCATTCTTGAGTTTTAACTCTAAGAAGCAGAATCAGAAGTCCCAAACTGATGGTACCAAGTGGGAGACAATCGTGAAAACTTCTAATTTGCATAAGGATCATGTCCGTTACTCTGAGGTAACCTCCTTTTTATCTTTTTAAGTTTTCTGTAGCAAATTTTGATGTTTGAGAAACTGAAATTTAATATTTTTGGTCCATTTTGTTTGAACAGGAACTATATACTCTTGGTTCTTGTCAGCAGAGCAAATCTTGAAGATGGATCATTCATAAAGATGAAACATCTTGTTTCTTTCGGTATAGCTTCAATGCTATCCTGAAACTACATTTCATTCCTCTTGGAATTTCCTTGTCACTATTTTAGTCTAGGTGTACGAGGAAATTTTTTTCCTATTCCACCTCAAAAAATTACTTGGTTTTGATGGTGGCGATTGTTGTAATTTTCAATAGTGGCATAGTAGTGGGCATGAGAATTGCTGAGTTTTTTGTGTTCCTGAAAACCAGCCCTTGCCTTGAGATATGAATGAATGACATTTGATTCTATATGACATTCTGGTATAGTATTGTTTTTTCATAATGTGTGGCCTTGAAGTAAATATCTTTAGCTTTTCTGGTAATATTTGATTCAATTCTTCATCTTTTGGTCCATTGAATGAGCTAGCTCACCAATATATAACATTTTGACAAGAAAAAGCTCAGTAGTAGTCCGGACCTTTTATCTGAAACAGGCTCGAGTAACGGAGTTTCAAGGTTATACCATATTTGGTGGAAGAATAGCTTCATCCCTTATTCAGAGTCTAGGTCTTAAAGACGAATTCAGGATTTAGGGTTGGGGGTGTTTGAGTATGCATACATTTTCTCAAAAATTTCATCTATCTATATGATCCATGATTCCATGTCGAAAGCCACAAGTGCACTTGAGTTTGAGCCTGCAGTCAATAGCCTAAATCTCCCTCCATCACCTAGAGTAAAGCACAGGCTCACAGGATGCTACAGATATGTTTACACTATGTAATTGGTTGATGCAATAATATTGAGGTGTTTAAATTTCGGAAAAAATTAAGTCTATTTATGCATCTGAGAGAACACCTTGATCTAGAGTTGAACCCTAAGTTTGCTTGGTATGCGGGATAAGGTGGGATATTCCATGATTACGATTGAGATTAGACTTATACTCTGTTTGGTTGATGGTATAAATCATCTGGGGATAAATTTAATTTGTAACCAAACACATAAATCTAATCCAAACTTAATCTTGAGATATTCCATCCCACTTGGAATTATTTTATTCTACATGGGAGGTGGGATATAATTCCAGGACTATAGTCCCGCGATAATTTAGTTCGCATACAAAAAGATCTGTGTGGCTTCAGCCTTCACATAGGAAAGGGAACTGTTGGGGCCTAACATGAGTCTAGGCCCAGCCCTCAGTCAACCTATGCAAGCCCAGGTGGGATTGGATCTTATCCAAGCCCAATCCATTGGACACTTCAAATACCTCAAATTCCTCATTCTCTTCATCTCTTCATTTGGATTTCAAGAAACTAAAATATCAATTGTCAGCTATATATCTCACAGAAAAAGAGAAATTTGGAACCATACACTTAAATAAGAAATACTTTAATCAACTTCACAATTTACCAATACCTTAGATTGAAAGAAAGAAAGAGAAGACAAAACAAACTACAACAATAACAACTTGCCTCAATCTCAAATAAGTCAAGATCAGCTATGTGAATCCTCATTTCATCATTTAAGTTAAGAGAAAGAAGAATACACTAAAAATGATCTTTGCAACAATATCTTAAAGGCAATTAGCACTCTTTATAGATATCTTTACATTATTTCTCTTATATATTTTGTACGTCGAAAAAGAGTACCACTTCCGATTTTTAAAGTTTTTAATGATCTTTATATTCTCAATCTGAATTATGACATGCTACTATAGAAATCGACGTGATTTGTTCTGGTAAAAATAACAACAGTATATAATTTTGGTTTTACTTTCTTTCTGAAGAAAAGAGAATATCCCACTAATATTAAATACATGTAGCAAGATAGTTAATCCATCGTAAATATTATATTGTTTTGTAAAACAAAGAAAAACTAAGAATGAGAGAGATATAAGTGTCAACTCAAAGTGTATGGTAATTGAATGCGGCCTATAAAGCAAGTACTTAGGAGATCTGACTCCAATTAATTAATGTTAATTGCTTGGTCAGATCTCAAGTACTCACCCTCCTACCTAGGCTGCTATCACTCATGAACAATAATTAACAACCTAATTAATAATAAAACTTTTGTATGTTTAAGAACTCTAGCTAATTTATTAACTAAAGAGAAAGCATTGTGTTTATATCTGACTGATCCATCCTCTTCTCATTAATCTTGTCATCTGTGCTTCTGCTTAATCTTAGTTGCAAATCAGGTAACCATTCTTTTTCCTCAAAACCACTCTTGTCTTCTTTCATCTGCAAAGTCAAAATTACAGTTACAATATATTTTGACAAGATATTTCATGAGTCAATATGAATTATGGTCGTTAAGGTCACATTATAATACAGATTTTTTTCGCCCATAAAGGATGAAGGCCCTGGCCCCTCCCAACTTTTAGATGAGCTGAATTAGGCAGGTCAAAATAGGGCCCAAGTTGACATATACACGACTCTAGGACCACCATTAAGTCATACCCACAAAGCATAATTTACAAGTTTACTACTTCGAAACAAATTCAATGCCGTGTTTGAAGTTTCATATGACTGAAATTCAACTATTTTTGTTTGAACATCTGGCATAAATAGCTAAACTCAATGCTCGCTAACTTTAGACACCGCATGTTTGAAGTTGTTTTAAAGTGGTAAATATTTGCAATTTAAAAAAAAAAAAAGGGTGTTCAGATACACTACAATAAAAACAACTTTAATTTTAACGGCATTAAATATTCACATTCACAAAGAGTGCTAAAGCCTTTACCGACATTAGTTAATTGTCATTGGATCCAATGTCGGCTATAGGCTAAATGCCACTAAAAAAAAACATATTTAGTGGCAATTAAACTATTATTGTTAATTAATTGTCATACTTCATGAAATTTTTATGTTAAAATAGATTAAGCTAATAAACAGACGAGTCATATTTTTACCTTAATCCTGCAAGGTGTCACAAGATTTTGATCAAGGGCATTGTTTCTGCAGTTCCACTTGGAATATGGTTGTCCCAAATTTTCTTGAAGCAAAAAATGGGAGTTTTTAGCTGTTTTCTCCTCCCACTGATTGGGGATGAACTTCTTCTGTTCAAGAAATTGGGTTGACCTAATTGGCATAATTCCATTTTGTTCAATTACTACTTGTCTTGGTGTTTGCCAGCTCTTCATTCTCAACAAATCTTCCCCTTTTTGAAACTTGCTATTAAGTAAACTTCCTTGATTGTCGGAAGACCACGGCAAGTACCTATATACATAATATTAATTAAATTATTACTTGCTCGTTTCATTTTACTTGACCCATATATTTTTTTCATACTACCCTTAGTTAAATAACTACGTAAATTAGTAGTAATCAAATTTAGCATTCCAAAGCAATATATAATAAGTAAAGTTAGTTGTATTATACCTGGAAAATATGTTTTTGGCCTGATATGAGGGTCTTGAAAAGGAATGGGATTTAAGTGCATGGTTATCATAGTTAAAATTCCTTGCCAACACAATGGCACCATTCTTCATCTTGAAATCTTGTATAGGGTTATATCTTTGACCACCTAAGTGGTTTCTAAAGAAATAGCTTCTTCCTTGCATTGACCTATTATTACCACGCCCTAACACTGTCAAAATGAAACACCATTTATTTAATCGGGACTTCAATGCAGGTTCCAGACACCAGATGGGAATCAAAAAAAAAAAAAATTGGTGTTGAAAGCAAGAGAATTTGCTAATTTGAAAATAAATGTAGTACCTTGTCCAGATTCATCAAGTTTCTTGCTTCGATACATCTGGATAAAATAAGTAACTTATATTAATTACATTAAGAACAAAATACCAAATTAATATAAGTATTTCAATTGATCACAAAATATATATATATGACTACCTGTAGATGACTTTTTACATGAGCAATACTTAGACCTCTCACATTCATCATTTGGAGAACCAACTTAGGTGTGGCTCCTTAAAAATTAAAAAAACATCACATTAAACATTAAATAAATATTTCTCGAATATATGTAGTTATCTTTTAGTTGACGTGATAGTATATATATAGATCGAGGCTTACTTTCTTGACCACCAAGTCTTTCAATGGCATGAACAAAAGAGCGATGGAGGTCTGGAGTCCAACGTAGCCTTGGAAATTTTGATCGAACATATTGCCTTACGTTTTTCTTTTCAACATCACTACTAGTATTATAATTTCCTTCAATTTCCTTCTCACTACTATCTTCCACCTCAATCACTTCTTCTTCCTCTTCGAGTTCCCCTTTGTTGTCTTCATTTAGATCAATGGATGAAGAAGATGCTTTTTCCATAATATATTCCACTGAATTATTTTCCGCCATGACTATTTATACGTCTTGTCTTACTCAATTAGTAATGCAAAGAGGTTTGTCTTCAACGCAATTGATCAGAAACAACCCTGCATTGTGTAACATTCATTACAATACTAAAATAAATAATTGAACTATCTACCATAGAGAATCCCGTGAACCATCGAATCTCTGTACGCCACACATCGTGTACGTAAAAGATATGTAAATTAAAAAACTTTGTACATGCAATTTTCTTTCTAGCTAGGGTATGTGTGTGTGTGCATATATATTGTACTGTTGTTTTCTTCATTGAAGAAATTAAAGAGGGGGCCGGGTTGTAGATGTTTTTCTTGATTTTGTCCCAACATTACTCTACTTATTAAATAATAGTAACAACTATAGAATCAACATATTTAATTTTACAATGTTTTGTACTTAGTTACAGTCTGTTTTTTTGTGTGCAATAACAAATATTGTACTCTTTGCCAGTGGTACAAAATATATAATTCTGACAGTATCAACTGCTAGTTGGAAAATTTGAAGTTTGTAAGCGGCAAAAATCTGCTACTAGAATTTAATGGTAATTATATTCCTAGTGTTTTATATTATTTTCCTATGGATGTAGTAGATACATGGCATAAAGAAATGTTCAGTCAAATAAAGACTGTTAATGAAATGGGTCCTAGGGGGTTTACAAAATAAAAAAAGTCCTAGAGTTTTTCATGATGATTTTAAAATCCAGCGACATTTATTCTCGTTTAATATCCTCAATACTAGGAAACTTTTACTGTGCACTTCATTCAGATTTCAGAACCACCCAAAAAACGGATAGATATCAAAGGAAGGGTCGAACCACAAAGGACTATTATAGACAATCTTATCATGCATAGTTACTGTTTTCATAGCTAAAAGCCTAAAACTTCTAACTTCCTGATCATATGACATCAATTTTACCTGGTATATCAAGATTCCATTTTCCAACAACATATGTGTAAGAGGAAACAAAATAGTCTGGAAAAAGGAGTAGATATATAATTAAATTGATTAACCCTAGTTTCTTTCACATGGAAATAATTCCCAATTTTCATAAAATGAATCGATCTCTTTGCATAAAGTTAAGGGAAAAAATGATTGATATTAACTTCCTACATAGTACTGCAAGATAACAAAATAGAGAAAATTTGTTCAAAAGAAATTAAAAGGAAACAATTATCAATTACTGGCCAATTACCACCAAGCACTGGAAAAGAGAAAAGAACTAAAGAACATAAAGGAGAAGAAACAATTTCCAAACTGGGTAATTAAATAGAACTAGTTTATATTCCTAATTAATCTAGAATATTCCTATTTTTATCCATATATATATACTTCATAGAGAGAAAAAAAAATTTAAAGGAAGTTTTTCTAAATACAAACCATCGATCAGCAGCTGTGCTTAGTCTCCAAATATTAAAGCTTGTATAGACGATCGATGGATCACTTGCTGAAGATGGAGTCAAACATACCCTAATTTGGCAACGCAACAATAATAGATACGCTTCTGTTCCAAACAAGTTGGTCGATCCGATCAACTATATATATGAATCACTATTCTCCCAATCGATCAGCCTGAAAATATTTATATATGAGAAGACAAGAAATTTTCCTTTGGTAGTGGGGTATATAATGGGAGGGGAAGGTGTTATTTTTCCTTTTGGGAGTTGGGAGGTTTTTGTATCATTTAACAATGGAATTAATTTTCAATGCCCATGACTTTTTTTTTACTTAGATTAAATGCCAAAATGAATACATTTAATTTTAATAAGAAAATTAGAAGCTTTTGGACGTAAGACATGAGTCCACTTGGTGCTCATTATAGTGCAATAATTCTGACATTTATTTATAATTAATTAATTATTATTATTATGGATATAAATGAGACGACTAGTCCTTCGTTTTGGTTGAACTTATTATTACATGTGACTTTCCCGAAAAGTTATTTTATAATCTGTAAAAATAAAAATAAAAAATTGACAGTTGTACCTTCTCATGTGATTATATATCTTTTAGTTTGACCTTTGTTGAGGACTTTTCCATTTGAATGTAAGTAAAATAAAATAAATTTTGTTTATTTTTTTCTATTTCAGCTAAAAGTCGTATTCATATGGCAATTGTCCAAATAACTACTCCCTCTCTCCCTGTCTGATACATTTCGAATTTAGAGATTCAAACAAGTTTATATTTAATTATATATCTTTTAAATATTTTGAATTGTTAATTATTGTGACTTAAAATACTTTTTACATAGTTTACAAATATATATATTTCATTCAAATTTTTTTTTGCAGATTTCATGTGCAAATTCTCGTTCAAACTTAAATTGTTTGACTCTCACAAAACGGAACGTGTCACATAAATTGGGACAGAGGGTATCTATTATTATGATTTATTTATTTATTTGACGATGGGTGTCTCTTGTGTGTAATTATTGTTGGAACTCATGATCACCGACTGGCAGAACCAAGAATGAAGAAAGCGAATGAAGAAGATGAGCTTTATTCGGACACGGGTTGAGGGCCTTATTTTGGAATAAACGTCTCTTGGGCCTGATATTTTATCTTTGGATTTCATCCCATCTAAAGCACACTAATGCCATTTCAGCAGCCCATTTCAATATACAGCTTTGCTTATATTAATTCACATTGTATAGGAAAAGATTTTTTAGATTATTTTAGAATAGGATGAGCTGTAAAGTATATAGTCAAAGTTGGTTACCTACTTCCTTTTAAATTGACTTTCTAGTCCTTAGTTTACATGAAGAAGTAAGCAACTCTTTGTACAGTTCTTTAGTTCAGTGAAAATAGAGAAAAATTTCCCAAATAATTCTTCAAGATTTCATTGAAATCTTTCATGGTATCAGAGCATTTTAAGGGAAACTCATCATCTTCTCTCCTATTTTTTTTTTCATTATACTGCTTCACTCAATTTCAGTGAGATGGCAATTGAGACCGTAGTTGACAAATCTTCCTCTTCAGCTGAGAAAACCACTGATGTAGTCAATTCCAGTCATCCATACTACTTGACTCCATCAGATTCGCCTGGAAACAATCTCATCAACATCATTTTCGATGGTTCTAATTATGGAAATTGGAAAAGAGGAGTTTTAATTTCTCTGTCAGCTAAGAATAAGCTTTGCTTTGTTGATGACAAAGCAATTGTTCCACAAGAAGACTCACTTCTTTTTGACCACTGGAGAAGGTGCAATGACATGGTCATTGCTTGGTTGTTGAATTCTCTTAGCAAGGAGATCTCAGAGAGTGTTATCTATTGCCTGACTGCTGTTGATCTGTGGAATGAGCTCCAAGAGAGGTATGGACAACCTGATGGAGCAAAACTTTTTCAGTTACAAAGAGATCTCAACAACATATCTCAAGGTACAAATGATGTTGCTAGTTACTTTAACAAACTAAAGAAGCTATGGGACCAAATGAAGGTTTTGAACACATTCATGACTTGTGGCTGTGATTGTAAGTGTGGTGCTAAAACACACAACCATAAAATGAATGAAGATATCAAATTGATGCAATTTTTAATGGGTTTGAATGAAATGTATTCAGGGTGTAGGGGGAATATTCTGATGATGAAACCCCTACCATCTACTAATCAAGCTTATTCCATGATCTTACATGAGGAATCTCAAAGAGAAGTGCATAATGGAAACATAGGATTTCCAGATTCTGTTGGCTTTAATGTAACAAGATGGAATGAACAGAGGAACAATCCACAATCCAGGGTGAATAATCAAGTTGTAGGAGCAGGTTACCAAAACAGTGGACAGAAGAATAACATGTTCTGTACCTACCGTAAGAAGACCAACCATGTAAGATTAAATTGTTATAAGTTGATTGGGTACCCTGCAGATTACAAGTTTACAAACAAGACAAAGAAGCCTCACAACAATGCTAAAGCTAATGCAGTTGGTACAGGAGAAAACAATTTCACTATTGCTTCTGAGGAAGGAATTATGCTCAATGAGCATTCTGGCAAAAATGTAGGATCAAGCACTATGTCAAATATTGTGAATTCTCAAGGTTTCACTAAGAATCAATGTGATAGACTGATACAGATATTTAAGTATGTCCAAAGTGGGGATTCCCAAGCATCAGGTTCTGAAAACCATTTTGCAAGCATGGCTGGTATTGCAACTGTTTTGAGTGCTTATTCTTCATGTTTCACTGTTTTTAATTCTAAACCATGGATCATTGATTCGTGGGCTTCTCAACACATGACTTATGACAAATCTTTGCTTCATGACATAAAATATCTTTCTAGACCAATTTCGGTTACTCTACCTAATTCCTATAAGGTTTCTGTCACATGCATAGGAATAGTTTCCCTCACTCCTAATTTAGAGCTACAGAATGTGCTCTATGTTCCTTCTTTTAAACACAATTTACTTTCTGTAAGCCAATTTGTTGATCAAACCGAGCTTGGTTTTCTTTTTACTAAACGTGGGTGTTTTCTACAGGACCTCAATCTCAACAGGAAACAGATTTTTGGTGAAGCTGCAGCTGGTCTATATGTACTGAAGGATTGCACATCAGATTCCAATCCCATTTCAATTGAGTCTTCTAGTTTTCAATCTTCTTTAATTTCTCCTAAACATCATGTTAAGTCCAAACATGTAGTATCTGATTTTGAGTCTTTTCATTCTAAATTAGTCAAGAATCCTATAGTTTGTAATGATCAGAATATGAATGCAATGAATACTCTTTCTGATTCTCTTGACTCTAGAAAACTTTGGCATTATAGGTTGGGGCATTTACCTTACGCTTCTATGAGGCACATTAAAGATATATGTTATTCAGAAGGTGAGAAACATGATTTTCCTTGTGATATTTGTCCAATGGCTAGACTCCACAAATTGCCATTTTCTAAAAGTCATATTACCACCAAAAACAGTTTTGAATTATTGCACATTGATACTTGGGGACCCTACAAGACCCAAACCTACAAAGGGGAAAAATACTTTCTCACTATTGTAGACAACTACACCAGATCTACATGGACCTTTCTACTTTCTACAAAATCCAATGCATTTCCAATACTGAGATCTTTCTTATCTTATGTTGAGAGACAGTTTGATAGAAAAGTAAAAATTATTAGGTCTGATAATGCCTATGAATTAGGTTCAGGTGTTCTCCCCTCAGATTTCTTTACTTCACAAGGTATTGTTCATCAAACCACTTGTGTTGCTACCCCACAACAAAATGGGATAGCAGAAAGGAAGCACAAACATCTCCTTGAAATTTGCAGGGCTCTTTTATATCAGTCTCACCTACCTTCCAAATATTGGGGAGAAGCCCTTCTTACTGCCACCCACCTGATAAATCTTTTTCCCTCTAAAGTTTTGGGAAACATCTGTCCTCATGAAAAATTGTTTAAAAAGAGTCCCTCTTACTCTCAACTCAGACCCTTTGGTTGTCTTTGTTTTGTGTCTACATTATCTGCTAATAGGGACAAACTTGCTCCAAGAGCTTTTCCAGGTGTTCTTCTAGGTTTTCCTTTTGGGAAGAAATGGTATAAAGTTCTTAATCTTCAGACTAACCAGGTTGTGGTGAGCAGAAATGTGAAGTTTACTGAGTCTATTTTTTCTTTCGCTAAATCAGAACCTATGTCTAAACTTTTCCCAGGGTCTTTTCTTTCAAATGAACCTTTGTTCCCAAAATCCCCTATTCCTACTCTTTCCACATCTCCTCGGGTTTGTACTCCCTTAAACAACCCTCCTCCAAATCTTGAGGATCTTTTTGACTCTTCTCTTTCACCTATCGATCCTGTTTCTTCCCCAGCTCCCATCGTGTCTACTCCTGATTTTTTTTTCTCCTACTTCACCTATTCCCCCTCATGTGCTACCTCAGGCAGAAGATTTGCGCAGATCAACCAGAAAATCTGTTTTTCCTAGACATTTAGGTGATTTTATTTGTGACAGTGCCTTTACTGTGATTTCACCTAGTGTTTCTTATTTTCCTCTTGATTCTTTTCCTTATTCCTTTTTGAGCACACACAACCAGAATCTTAGTGATGCTATAAGTGGCATAAGGGAACCCAGGTCTTACCATGAAGCAGCCTCACACCCTGGATGGCAACTTGCTCTGCAACAAGAACTGGATGCTCTTGCGTCCAATTCTACTTGGGACGTGGTACCTTTACCACCTGGAATGAAGTCATTACCCTGCAAGTGGGTGTACAAAATGAAACTTAAGTCAGATGGGAGTTTGGAACGTTTAAAGGCACGATTGGTTGTACGTGGAGACATACAACGAGAAGGGATCGACTACAATGAAACCTACTCACCTGTGGTAAAAATGACAACCATTCGCTGCCTTCTTAGCATAGCGGTTAAACGCAATTGGACTCTTTTTCAGCTTGATGTAAACAACGCTTTCCTCCATGGGGACCTCAATGAGGAGGTCTACATGCGATTTCCTCCGGGCATGCCTTCTTCATCTCCCTCGCATGTTTGCAGGCTGCGTAAGTCTCTTTATGGACTTAAGCAGGCCTCGCGCCAATGGTATGCACGTCTATCAGCAGCTTTGGGTACACGAGGTTATGTTGCATCATTGAATGATTACTCACTTTTTTCTAAGTCTTCAGGTACCCTTGTCACTATACTGGTTGTTTACGTCGATGACATCCTGTTGACGGGTAACAATCAAAGGGAAATTGATGAGTTGAAATTGTTTCTCAACACAGAATTCAAAATTAAGGATTTGG